AAATTTTTAAAAAATGAGTTTTTAAATCCATCCTGGTAAAGTAACTTTACATCAACAAAAGAAATAAAAGATAACCTTTTGCTTATTACAGTGCAAGTAAACACTCACTCTTGACTCTGATAAAAGATTTGCCTTTCCTGAAAGTGAAAGACAATCTTTAATACTACCTTTTCATGCTCAATAACACAATGGAATCAGAATAGCTCAAGTCATTGTATAACAACAAGCCTGGCAATTAGAATTTTGTTGTTACTGGTAAAAAAAAATGGTTCTCATGAATTAGTCAACCAATGCTTTGGGTAAGTAACCTATTCATTAAAGTGCTCTAACAGTCTAGGCCCCGTTTCAGAAACAAATGTGTACAGCCATTAGGGCCACAGTACCTATATTTAATCTCACACTTCTCTTCTGGCACAGGCAGGCTAGTAATAAGGACTGGCCTACTCAAGATCTCCTTAACTACATCTGCCAAATAGGCAACCCAAATTCTAGGGATGCTCTACAGTGAATCCACAGTTTCCTGAAGGAACTGATCAGACATGCTGTATGTTTTGAAAATGCTCCTTGCAGCAAAGGATTATAGAGAGCAGATTATAGTTATAAGAATTCTGCCTTTCAGGAAGTTTGCCATCACTGAGAAACCTAAAGACACAGCTTGGAAACCACTGCTTGCATCATTACACAGGTGTAATATGAACTACAACATCAGTGGCAGAAAACCAGCAACTCAATTTTTTTAAAATAGCTGAATATTCCAACAAATCTCAACAATTAGATTATTAACAGTGCAGTGAAGATCGACAGCATCACACTAGGACAGCAATGGCGAACCTATGGCACGCATGTCACAGCTGGCACGCGAAGCCCTTTATTCCGGCACGTGAGCCATAAGTTGCCAGACTGCTACTCTCCCCCCATGCAGCTAAACCTGAGAAGGAAGGTGCAGCTGCAGTCCCTCCCGCTGCCACTTCCTGTTCCACGGCCACCTCTTCCAGTTCCGGCATGGCGCCGCAGCAAGCCGCCCACTGGGTTCCCTCCCCCCAGTTTGGGCACACGAAAGTTCACCACCACTGCACTACGATTTCTATTATAGTCTTCACAGTAGATTACAATGATCCTATGAACCCCACTATTCCAAGTCTGATCACTAGTCACATGTATTACTTGTTCTATATTTTAAATTGTTTATTTTATATGTTGGTAAAGGTGAAGGTTCCCCTTGACAATTTTTGTCCAGTCGTGTTCGACTCTAGGGGGCGGTGCTCATCCCCGTTTCCAAGCCATAGAGCCAGCGTGTTGTCCGAAGACAATCTTCCGTGGTTACATGGCCAGTGCGACTAGACACGGAACGCTGTTACCTTCCCACCAAGGTGGTCCCTATTGATCTACTTGCATTTGCATGCTTTCGAACCGCTAGGTTGGCGGGAGCTAGGACAAGTGACGGGTGCTCACTCCGTCGCATGGATTCGCTCTTACGACTGCTGGTCTTCTGAACCTGCAGCACAGGCTTCTACAGTTTAGCCCGCAGCGCCTTCACGTCCCAATTTTATATGTTGACTAAACATAAAATAAACAGAGTAGTCAGTTGACTAAATGGGTGGGGTACAAATTCAATAAATAAATAAATATAGCCCAATACTGTGTGATCTGACTGGCAGCACCAATCTAAGTTCTCAGGATAGTGGATTTTCCAAATCCTGCTACCAAGATTCTTTCACCAGAGACTTTGGGGACTGAACCTGCCAACTTTCACAAATAAGAGCATATATATATACATATACAGTGGTGCCTCGCATAACGAGTGCACCGTTTAACGATGAATCCGCATTGCGATGCGGATTTCCCCATCGCTAATGCGAGGGCATGCTCGCATTGCGATGGGGGAACAGCTGTTCGGCGGTTCTAAAATGGCTGCTGGACACCCAAAATGGCCACCGGAACACTCAAAATGGCCGCCGGGACACCCAAAATGGCCACCAGGACACCCAAAATGCCCCCCGGGAAACCCAAAATGGCCACCGGAACACAAAAAATGGCCACCGGGACACCCAAAATGGCCGCCGGGACATGGGGAAACATCGGAGAACGGTGAGTTTTGGGCCCATTTGGAATGCATTAAACTTTGTTTAATGCATTCCAATGGGTTTCCCCATTCTGCTTAATTATGTTTCGGAACGGATTAACCTCGCTATGCGGGGCACCACTGTATATACAGAGAGAGAGAGAGAGAGAGAGAGTCCTCCAATATTTACATGGATCTGCCATTTAAAAAAGTTAACTGAATAGGTTTGGCATTACCACATTTAAGCTTAATAAGAAACATTTACCAGTACTATAAATTCTTCAATTCACAATCAGTATTTATTTTACTGCATCATTCACTCAAGGCAGAAATGCACACAGAGAGCAAAGGTAAATTGGAAAAGTACAGTATGAGAATATATTTGTTGTTATGTGAAGACAAGTCAGAACTGACTTATAGCAACCCATATAGGGTTTTTCAAGGTAAGTGAGATATTCCATACCCTCAGTGAGCTTTCATGGCTGAGAAGCGATTTGAACCCAGGCCTCTTGAGTAGACTCTCAATCTATACACGACTACACCACACTGCATAGAATATATACCAATCTCTAAAGCAAGAAATATTTATCTTTTTTCATCCCAAACTTAGTTGGGAAAGTCTACTGAAAACATTTTATTAAGGATTGATGAGCAATTTCAATAAATATTTTGTGGACAACAATCAGTTCAAGTTATGTCAGTGAGCTGCAACAGAAACAGCAGTCTCATTTCACCATGAAGGCTGACAAATTTAATGTCATGGATTTACCCCACTTACCAATTACACATACTCTTACCAAGCCTGGGAAAGAAAATATTTCTTTACCCAGCATGTTGTTAGTCTGTGGAACTCCTTGCCACAGGATGTGGTGACAGCATCTGGTCTAGATGCTTTTAAAAGGGGGACTGGACAGATTCCTGGAGGAAAAGTCCATCACAAGTTACAAGCCATGATAGGGATGTATAATCTCCAGGCTTAAAAGGAAGGTACCTCCAAATGCCAGGTGCAGGGGAGGGGTATCAGGAGACAGGTATCTAGTTGTCTCATGTGCTCCCAGAGGCAGCTGGTAAGGCCACTGTGAGATACAGGAAGCTGGACTAGATGGGCCTTTGGCCTGATCCAGCAGGGCTCTTCTTATGTTCTTATGATATATATTATATTCCTGAAGTAGTTTCTCATATCACATAGCCTAATTACCAGCAATTGTGCTATAAATAAACAACAGTCCTATACTGTGCTGGACCAGAATAATGTAAATTCTTCCAAATCAGACTTAACTTAAAAAAACCCACCCCTTGTTTCTGATGAGGTTCATCTCTAAAGATTGCATCTGACATACTGTCAAAAAAACAAAGCAGGATCATAACAAAATAGTCCTTTAAAGTCTTCACAATTTGTAAAACACATTAACCCCTAGCAAACATGTTCCTTCTTTTTCCATTGCTTTTGTTCAGTCAGTCAAATAAATAATCTTCAGTGACTGTCCATAATCATATGATGCAGAAAGTTGCTTCTTAGCTGGATACCATATGGGCAACTGAAGTGCACAATCCTATTATCTGCTTTCCAATAATAAAGTTTGCCAGAAGAAAAACAATTTGTGCCTTTGGCAATAACAATGAAAGAACGTTTACATATGGGAGAATATACAGTACTGTAGTTTGAAACTCCTTCGAAATTGCACTGGATAATGATATCAAATCACTCTTAAAAACAGGAAATGTTAAGATGGCTGCATTTTGGCAAGCCCAAGCAATTCATAAAACTTCCTCAATTCATTTGTTTAGCACCAACACAAAAATCCTGTGTTACTGCTTTCAAAGCAGTCAAGAAGATACAGCTAATAGTATAATCCTAAAAAACACCTAAGCTTAAATAAGATCAATGGGTATACACCCAGATGAATGAATATAAAATTGCAACTTAAAGAAACCACAGTACTATTATGGAGAAAATCCCACTGAAAAAAAGTTACACAGTTCTCTATAAGGAATCATACTGTTACTGTCTTAAAGCTATCTACAGTGCAATCCAAGGCCTACTCTGAAATCTTATTCAGGTGAACAGGACTTACTCTCAGGTACACATACATAGAACTGCAGTCCTAAAACAAAAGGAAGATAACTAATTAACTGAGTTTATGTAGATGAAACCTCTGACTTTTTTAAAAAAGAAAGAAATCAAAGCTAGTGAAATTTTTTCTGTTCTTCATTTCACAAACTGCCTCTTCCTCTTCCTAGGAATTACTGCATTTTCTAAATGAATGTGGAATGGTTATGTTTACACCATACTTAGCATCACATTAGTGTATACTAAAGAAAGTCTTGCTCAGAAATAGTAAGACACCAGAACAACAAAAATAAAAACAACTGTATTTGTGTGAGCACACCAAGCAGAAGAGAAGCGCCACTTCCCGAATTATCTGCAAATCTATGCACTACAAGGAATACTGCTATAATACCTGGCTTCATAATTTCTTTCACTGTTAAAATTACTCAACCATAACAAATAAAAGAATTATTCATGTCCTCTTAGAACATAAATGTGGTGTGAGCCACTAAGTCTCCAGATAAGTTAAATGTCTGCATCTCTAATATTCAGAATAGTGGAAAACAAACAGAAGGGCCCTGTAGCTATGCACACAATCTGTCTTAGCAAAACGTCTGACAGCTGCAACACTAACAAAATTAACAGTGGATGAATTAGTACCAGACGCTAAACAGTTGCTTTAGAAAGAATAATCAATTACTTTCATGTTCTTAAGTAACCTATTAATATAAAAATATTTTAAAAAATGCCCCATTGTTTCGACACAATACAGGACAATGCATTTTCTATTGATATGAAGGCAATGAATTGCACTGCATGAAACATTTCAGATTTAATGTGCAGATGCCATCTTTGAAAAAAATGCTACTGCCATGAAGTTACTCTTACTTTTGACAGAGCTGACTGAAAAGAACTTTGGGAGAAAGAGGTCCTTTTCCAGTTTCTTTCATGCTGTGAAGGAACAGGAACATAGCTGAAGTCAGTGACCCAGGGCTTGAAAGGTTCACTCCCAAAGGCTCCTTCGGGATCAAAATAAACAGCAGATTTTAATGCACATACTTGCTTGCAGTTATGAATATAAGCCAAACAGTTGGTACAGTGTCTAATTAAAGTGGAATGGGGGAACCCAAAACCTTCCAGGTCTTGACTTTAACATGCAAAGAAAAGAATTTGCAAGCTTCTCTTCAAATGAAGACAATATTTTAATTCAGCTTTATTTACTTGGTAACAGTTTTATGAGATTGAACAAAAAGAGCAAAAGAAGATTTATGATACCCTGCAATGCATCATCAGGAAGCATGAAATACAGAATAAGGTAACACATTTCAAATATAAAGTTAATACCCTGTTTCCCCAAAAATAAGACCTAACCTGAAAATAAGCCCTAGTATGATTTTTAGGATGCTTGTAATATAAGCCCTACCCCCAAATTAAGCCCTAGTTAAGTGAAACCCCGTCCTCCACCATTGTGCAGCAACCAGCAGAAGATGACATGACTGTATTTGAATAAATGTAGACGGTTGTACATGAAAAAAATAAAACATCCCTTGAAAATAAGCCCTAACGCGTTTTTGGGAGCAAAATTTAATACTGTATAAGACCCTCTCTTATGTTCGGGAAAACACAGTAAGAAAAGGTATGTGTCATTCTAAACGCTGTTTTTTTATTCAACAGTCCAATCTAAGACCATCATTTAATTACATGCAAGGAAGTTTAAAGGCTAAATCCAAGTTTAGTCCTAACTAGAGCAGACCAAGAGAAATAAATGGGGCTTGTTAGACAATATGTCCCATGATTTTCAATAGGGCTACATTATTAGGAAGTAAAATAGGATTTAGCCAAAATTCCACTGGAGAAAGGTGGCAATATTTGAGCATTACTTGTATAGGCCCTTCTGCCATTCCCTATAGTGTTCTTAAGGGTCCCTCAATCCTCTCAAACATTTTTCCAAGGTGAAATAAGGAAAGGATAAATCCGCCCCCCTTTCTTTCTCCATATGAGGAAAGGTCTATTTAAGGCAACTCTGGATTCAACCCTATCTCATCAAACTGCTAAAGTAAGATTCAGTGGATGAAATCCTGCTGTGCATTTATACAAAGTGCAACTTTTGAAAAAAAATTGCCATAAATTAAGAAATTAACATAGGTAGCATTTATTGCATGCCCGGTTGCACAGTTCAGGATTCCAACCAGTGAATACTAAAAACAAATTAACTAAGTTTAAACTGCTGTCATTTTTGTGCCCATCAATGTTATTCCCACAGACAAACTGAGCATTTCAATTTTAAAAATGGGAGGCTCTCTAAATGCTTACCAGTTGAGATGGTGGATTCTGACCAATCTTCAGTTTTGTCCCCTTTTCTTTCATTTCACACATTAGCTCGTGTAACATGTGTGTTTGTGCCAAGTTCTAATAGAAAAAAAGGGAAAGGCTATAGATGACATTTGCCTACTAGGCAGATGATTACACTGAATTCTTATTGAAAGTGACTTTACTCAATAGAAGGCATAATCCTGCCCAAAGGCTGCTGCTGGAACATAACCCAGAGCACTCCTTCAAGTATCCCAAAATACATGTGTATACTGGTCAAATTTTTAACCTTTTAAAGTGTGCATCCTCACCTCGCCACGTCACAAACTGTTCTGAAAATTTTTAAAGCTTTGGAACTCCAAAGAGCAGGATACTGGTGTTTTTTAAACATGTGTTCCAACAGACCTCACAGTTAGATGTTAGACAAGCTAGAGTCACAAAAAAGAATGTTTCCACACTAGTTCCTTAGTTCTGAATTATAACCATTTGTTTACAGATGAAGCAGATTATGTGCTGATCTTCCAATCACCTCCACACACAAAGTTTCCCTTATTCAGCTTGCACTCCTTACAGGAGCTCATTTAGTCTAACTGTTTTCAAAACTGAAAACAACAAAAAGGAAAAGGAGCACAACCCCAGCAGGTGTAGATGAGTTTAGCATTCCGGCTGAAATACAGCTGGCTCCTGCCCCTTGCCCTTCCTTTTGGGATGAAAAACACAAGGTACAATGAAAAGCTGTTTATATTTTGTTTTGCATACTTCACTGACCTTAAATCCTGTGGTAGAGAGCCTACACTGAGCCACAGAAATATTCCACCGCTTTTTACAAAGCTCTGGGAGGCCTGGTGCAAAGTAAAAAAAATGACACATACTCTGCCTTGCCCGAGCACCTTGAAGTTGTATGAAACTATGGGATTTTGAAAGCAGCAAATGGTTGTGTGGGTCTCTTCTCAACCATGGCAGCAGGAGGTCTCACTGCTTCAAAGCTCCAGAGTTCCATGCAAGGAAGACAATCATGCCTCTCACTTGTACTGAGTCTGACACAGCTATGCAAAACTGCAAAGCAGTTTGCAAAACTTCAATCTGGGCAAGATAAAACCTCTGCTTTCCACCATCCCCTTTCACAAATAAGGAAAATAAAAGAGATTCATTAATTTTATTATATTAGAAAAGAAACAGGGATTATCCTTCTTCCACCTCATTTGATTCCCACAGAAATGTGCCATCCAATGGCATTTGCCTCAATTTTTCCCTTCACCGTATGACAGACATCTTTAGCCTTACCTGCATGACAGCATTAAAGAAGCATGTGTTCCCCAAATTACTAATGCCTTTAACTGGAACGGTTGCCCAATTGGAACTGATGCCTTTCCCTTTTAATATTTCACTTTCTTCAATGTTTTCCTCATGTAGCCAAGTAATTTTTGATGATGAACCTTTAATGAGGGGGGAAAAGATTTGTGGAAATATTACTACATATGTTTCAAAAAAAGGGTATCAAATTTCAGAAAGCAAACAAGCCAGCTTTGATTGACCCTGCATTTCTAGAGATGACCTATTCCATGAATCTGTAAACCATGAATAAGAAAAGAAACAATGTTCTCAGTTAAGTGACAATGAAAATTTACTATGGCAAGAATATACACACTGCACAGTACATTATGAATCTGTAAACCATGAATAAGAAAAGAAACAGTTAAGTGACAACGAAAATTTCCTTTGGCGAGAATATACACACTGCACAGTACATTATGGTGCATACATTATGTCCACACTCAATCTTATGTGAATGCTATAGCCAGAATCCAAAGAATGTCAAGTGCAAGGGAAAAACTGGTTACCACACTATGAAATACAGGGTACATACCCTGTTTTCCCGAGAATAAGACCTAACCTGAAAATAAGCCCTAGTATGATTCTTCAGTATGCTCATAATATAAGCCCTACCCAAAACATAAGCCCCTGTTAAGTGAAACCTCGCCCACCACCACTGTGCAGCAACCAGAATATGACATAACTGTATTTGAATAAACGTAGATGGTTGTACATGAAAAAAAATCCCCTGAAAATAAGCCCTAATGCATTTTTGGAGCAAAAATTACGGTAATATAAGACCCTGTCTTATTTTCAGAGAAACACAGTAGTTGTAGAGAGTACAGTATTTGCAATTCCGTATCATCAAATTTATAAAGACAATATTCCAATGATGGCAGCAGTAAGAATCATGCAGCATAACCCTATGCATGTCTACACAGATGTAAATCCCATTCTGTCTAATTAAACATAATGTCACGAGTGCATGATTGCAGTCTTTGCTTTCTGTCCACCAAGCACGCAATAGATCAAATTGGTTCTAGCCTTATTTAAAAGCTAAATGGGTGTTCCCTATAACATGTACTTATCTGTCCACCCCACAACATTTGCTACTGGGCAATGGATCTGTAAAGCTTGAATAAGATGCCGATGGAGATTGTTGTTTGCTTTCAACTTTTTATATATATTTATATATATTTAATACAGCATAGTATAATGTATTACCAGCACCATGTCCCTGTATTTTCCTATTTGCCTTAACGCTTAAACAGATACAGGGCACCGAAGTTAGACAGCCATTAACTTGTAGCCTAGAGGTAATGAGAAGACTTGAGACACTATTTAGCCTAGATTTCTACTACCAACTTTCATATTGCCACAGCTGTTGTACTAAATATGAACATTACTGACATCTGCAGCATTTCAAGTATTGATTAACAATGCATGTCAATGTGAGCAAGTTATGGACTTAATGGATGCCAAGAGCTGCAGTGCTGCAATCTACATTTTGACATACAAATTCATATATTTGTTCTAATGAGTTACATACTAAGGACTCATTAAATAGTCTTTTGAAATAACTAAACAGACCTACTTGCATTAATGGAATTTTCATGCTGGAAGATTTCTAATACATTACCCTTAGATATATGCACCCTCTCTTGAAACAACGGAAGTGGTGGAGAACTGCATATACATTTTGAAAGAAAGCAAATACTATGCAAAATACCTATTATGGTTGACATCAAATTGTTGGTACAATTTGTCTGCCCTCTAGTCATGATACATTACAAAAAACTATGTCAGTGTTTGCAAGTCCCCACTACAACATGCTGATAAAAATAAAGAAAACCCCTGAGTCCACTAATATGAGCCACTGAAAACCCAACATGGACATGTTGTTTCACTTATTACTCTTTTTTTCACATTACTGAGTCGCTGCGTAGACATACTGTACATACCATAAAGCAAAGACACATCAACTGCCCAGTTCATACATTCATGGCAAAACAGACACACTGTACTTCATGGATGACAATGTCTACATATTTTCATGACCAAAGGTAATCTCTGTATGCCAAGCTCACCACAAGAAGCATCTAAGAAGTCTAGCAAAAACAACAGCACACAGAAGCCTATTAGGGTGCCAACTGAATCTCTCTGTTGATACTGCATCCCTTCCACCTGGGGGCAGCAGGAGGTCAGCTCAGTGGGTACATGGCAGATCATCTGGCAGTCTCCTACAGCAGTGGTCCCCAACCTTGGGCCTCCATATGTTCTTGGACTACAACTCCCAGAAGCCTTCACTACCACCTCTGCTGGCCAGGATTTCTGGGAGTTGAAGTCCAAGAACATATGGAGGCCCAAGGTTGGGGACCACTGTCCTACAGCACATTCCTGTTACTTCTCACCTATGAGGCAACTTCCTAACTGCTCAGTGATAAAGCTGCCCCAGCACATAGCAGCAGCACACTCCTGTTGGACTGTGCTCTTAATTTAATTTTAATTGTGTGTGTGTGAGAGACAGAATTCAGTGAACAACAAGATCAGAAACCTGAAGCATGGATTATCCAACAGCACATCATGACAATCCCAATATGTCCAATGGTGACTATAAAGAACACCCATGGGAATAAAAATAAAGAGGTGGTGTCGAAATTATTCATAACTGTTTTATCCCGAATGGATGCTGAGTTCTATCACACATCAACAATATACTCATGGGCTGGGTTTTGTCCACCCTGACCTTCTGTTTCTCAAAATAACTTGAGATAAGGAAAGGCTAAGGGAAAGTAAGCCCAATATCACTCAACAAGCTTTATGGCTCAGCAAGGATTTGAGTCGGGCTACAATGGTTTAACATCTATCCACATGAATAAATAAACATTTATCCACCACCTCGTAATAGCTCTGGCCTTTTAAAACAATAATTCAAAGAAAAAGACATTTCACAAGAAAAATGTATAAGCATATTGGTTATTTTAAAAAAAGAGAGACAAAATTGTGTACATAATTTGCATATTACCCAGCCACAGTTGTTGCATTTATCCATTGGCATTCAACAACATCTGGGACAACATCTTAAAGTAAACAATGCTCACAAGGCCATCTGGACAAAACTGCAGGCAAAAATTAGAGCAGAAACATATGGAAAAGCAGATTTTTCTCTCCCCTTCAGCAGTGCAGGATGACAAATGTCAAACCTAGATCTGTCCACGCTTCACTGTGCTATGGTTTGCAGCACCACCTGGCTCTCCTTGCACAGCCACCAAATATGGACAGCACTGCCACAGCGGACCATATCTGCAGGGCAAACTCAATAAAAGCATTTCATTTCATGGTTAAATGACAGCTTCACACAAGTAGCAAGGTTCTGTTTACTGAATCTCAAATGTGAATCACTCAGGATGAAAAAATAATAATAAAACAAAAGCCCACACATAAAAACCAAGCAATGAACAGGACAGCTTTATTGCCACAGAGGAACACTCATGTAATTATAAAATGCAAGAAATCATAATTATACATATGAATAGCACATTGTCAAGAAATTATAACACACACACACACGTAACCCTGAGAATCAACTCAATGGCACAGAGTTACCACTATCAGATGTCAGAAAACCTCCAGGAGTGTCTTGAAATATGAAATTGGGAACTATGAGAAGTGGCATAAAGGAAATGGCACCAAACAGTCTAATTTGAAGTAAGTTTCACTGAGTTCAAAGAATCTTACACACTACCAGATGAAATCCATACATGATGACATCTCTCATTTAATGTCTCATATCTTGTTTTCTACACTGGGATTTGCTGGGTTGGAGAAGTCACTAATTTAACACAACTATCTGCCCTTGTTCCAACAGATATGAAAGACTGATATGGAAGATATGGAAGACTGAAACCTCTGCATTTAATCTGTGAACTGACCCAGGTAGCCTTTATCTTGAAAATTGGTACAGAAGCACTTTAAAGAAATAAATAACAAAAACATTTAATACTACTTATAATAATTACTGTGTGTGAGTGTGTATATCAATGAGACTGAGAAAATGCATGCACACATATTTCCTGTATCCTTGTTGAAACAGAATTTAAATTGGGTGTACAGATGGTCCAAAACATTTTTTTAAAAATTGCTCACTGTCTCCCCTTCATCTGGGGAGCATTTGTGTTTCCTTTTTATATACAGAGAGCGAGAGCAAGACACCAGGGAACATGTTCCAAGGTCAAGACTTCTGTATTGTTTATTCCTCTGGTACTTGAGCTGCAGGGCTACATGGTTAAAAAAAAAAGCAAGGTTAATAGCATTGTTTCATTTTAGTATAACCCATGCTGGATAATACAGTCGCTACTGTTCCATTTAAGGAAAAATAAACATCAATTTGAAGTAGCATTTTTCCCCCAGTATTATAAAAAGGAAAAAAAAGGATTACAGTATCTGAATCTTAGAGGGGAGGAACAAAGATTCTTTTGGAATGCTCTGCATTCTATTTTTGTTCTCTCCTGTTCCCATGTGTTTATTTCAAGCCGTACAGGATGGATTTTCCACTCAGTATCATAAAACAACCCTGCCTCAAACTGCCATGTATTTACAGAGTTATGAAATAATAAACAGATACAGTATTGGTCAAATACATAAAACTGGTATAACCCCACTCAGAAGATGTATTTTACATAGTAACAGATCTTGCTTTTGCAATACTTGCACATTTCTCCTCTTGCACTTCTAAGGGACCTACATTGAATGTTGCTTACTGCTTAAATTAAGAAAATGTGCATAGAGAAAAATATAAAACAGAAATTAAGGAATCTGCCTGTTTGAAGGAATCCTTCATCGTACACAATCATTTCTTGTACACTAAAATCTATCTACCTACCTCTATAACTAAGGTACACAATGTGCTGTAGGATCAAGAGCCTATTCAATGGAGATTCCCCAATTATATATCTTCCAACACAAAATTCATGGGTTTTTTAAAATGGAAATGAAAACTGTTTTACCACCAAGAATCTTTATTGTTTTAAGCTGAAGGGTTGCTTTAATTCTGTTTCTCTTTTATAATAGCACTGTTATATTGTGATGTACAGGTTTTAGAATTAGGTGCACTCCAGCCCAA